TACTCCACTGATTTCAGGAGGAACCAAGTTCACATAATTTAATTTTGATTCAGACCGCCATTATTGGTTTGGAATATGTACATTAGAATTAATTTCTGAATTAACATTTCAGTGTTCAATGAAAGTAATTTCATTATGTCTGCCTTCACTGGCATGTTTAAAACTCAAGATTCATAAATTACAATATAGAACAAGCATGCCTAGCTCCTCTGCTGTCCATATTCACAATGCTCTCATTTAACAGCTGTAATTGGTACTAACATTTCCAACACTTCCTATATCTGGTGGAAGCCAAATTCCAAACAACCCGATGATTAGAATTCCATGGCTTCTCAGTCATTGGGTCTTATAATGAAGACATCCAAGATGTAAACACGTCTAGTATGTGATCAGAGACTCGGAGAAGGAAAAGGTGAATAAGTATGTAGATGCTGAGTCACCCAGGAATTTCCTGCAATTTAACCCAGCTAGGCTGAAGAACATCATAATGAGTTACTCAGCTGCATTATAAGAGGAAGAAACCGTCTCCCGGACAGAGAATTTTGAACACCCCAAAATGTATGAAGAAAATGAAAACTAGCAAACAGGACTCCTGAAACCCTGGTGGGGGACAAAGCTATTCAGTGGGAAGGCTGGACAATTTCCTGGAAATGGAGCCTTCCATGACATTGGCGGAACTCATCAGAAAATCCACAGAAGGTAATGTTGGGGGGTAACTGCCTCTCTTTCTCGGCTACTAAATTCATTGGGACAAAGGTTCAGCTGCCATTCTCTTTTAAAATGGATGTCGTCCGAAGAGAATGCCTTGATTGGAATTTGTTATCAAGTAGGGAAACAAGAAGTCGGGACTGGAAATATAATATTCAACAGCAAAGGCCAACTAGGAGGACATCTCTGATAGTTCTCGGCTTACGATCGTTGGTTTAGTGAACATTCAAAGTTACAATGGTGCTGAAAAAAGTTAGGACTGATCCCCGGACTTACAACCGTCATAGCTTCCCCATCCTCATATGATCACCATTTATGACCGTCCCAAATGGCTTCTGATAAGCAAAGATAATGAGGAAGCTGATAGGAGGTTGCAAGTCATAGTCATGTGATGTTTCGCTTAACGACTGTGGCAAAAGGATATAAAATTGAAGCAATCACATGACACCTCGCTTAATGACCACACGTTTTTCAGTCCCTATTGTGGTCATAAGAAGTACTGTGTTACTATATGAACAGCACACTGACCTATCATTTTGATCCGTGTTCAAAGATTTAGTCAATGTATACACTATTCAAAGACTGGGCAACCTTTACAGAACGGGGTGGTGGAATCACCAAAGGGGAAGTGGAGAATTTTTTTTTCAGACTTCTTTTATTATAAATTTCTTGGTGGCATTACCATCGAGAAAAATGCTCCATTATCCCATTGCTGAAATTTGGATATTTGTTGCCAAATATCACTAGCACAATCTGGAGATCCAGATGGACCACATCCAGACTGATGGGTAAATAAACGATCTAAACAATGTGTACACTTAGGCAAAACATTAGACATGAAATGTTATACTGAATACCAATAGAGAATATTTGTAACTCGGGGTTGAACTGTGAAATATAACTGCAGAGCCTAATGAATAATTATAAATAAGAGCATGCATTTTAATTGTGTTTATTTTATGCCTTAATGAATTCTATTTCCCATACAGTCCTATAAGGAAAATCTCAAATAGATAACAAATTATTGCAGGAACAGCTGATTAACTTAAGGCTATAAACTAAAATCCAGAAATAAATGCATGGCATCTGTGCTTTAAATGCTTATGCCATCTGGTCTCTCTCCTGATTCTCCCACTTCCCCTCCAATTAATCACATGGATTTCAATTTAATTAAATATACTCACATTTGCTCTGTCATTGTTAGACATAATGGATTTAAGTGATGACAGTATTTAGTTTGAGTTGTGAGACCAGATATAATTTTTCGCTTGGCCATTAGCAGCACTGACCAGAGATTCCAATATGTCAGGCAAGTTACCTGATCAGAGAAACTTGGCTTGACACTTATTGAAAATAACTCTGCTAAAAAAATGAGTTATGAGTATTTTTTGGTTTCAAAGTAAGAATGGTGTTGGTTTGCCTCCTAGAGGCCTCATTCTCATCTTTAATTCACCTATTGGTGACATCACCTTGTCAATGAATAATTTCCTGTACTCTCCTCTAGAAAACTGGGGGACCATTAGTTTGCAGTCTGTCAGAAGTTAAGCATCCCTGCATTAAGGCAAAACTTTAGGAAATAGAAACATCAATAATTTCTGCTGACGCTTGTCCTAAGAATTTACTGTTTTCTAATGGTACTTTTTGGGATGCAACTGCAAAATATTTTCATCTGTTATTCTTATAAAAAAAAGGCTTTTATTTGTATACTCCCACTATGGATAAAACCAAGACATATTATTAATTAACCCCACTGATAGAATAAATATTGGGTTAACCAGATTTACATCCCAGAAATCTCATGTTTAGTTTAAGCAGATGCCACAGGTATTACAAATGGGTTCAGAACAGGTTCTAGCCACTTAAAAAATATAAGTGAACTTCCCACTTCAATTCCATTTTCTGCCAGTCACCTCTGTGCAACTGGATAGCCATGTGGTTGGTTGTAATCTCATACAATTTGATATTGTGACAGAGCACAATGTTAATAGGCAAGGAAGGGCAGATAGGTTGATTGCAGTGATTGTATAAGTGTACCACAGCAACCCCAAAAAGGAAGAAAAAGGTCTAAATCTGGAACAAAGACAAAAGGACTGAGCTGAGTTCATGTATGTAACACTCAACAAAATGCAAGGGCTGAGTTGAAGTAATGTGCTACATCCCCCCACCAAAAAAATACTACCAATGTTTTAAATGTATCAATAATTTTGAATGTCTTAATATATTTTTAACCTTGGCAACTCTGTGTTTTTAAACTTCCAAGTTTTTTTTTTTAAAAAATCTTTAAATCTTTTTAACTTTGGCAACTTTAAAATGCCATGGACTTCCAACTCTTTCACATCTTACTTAGCACTTCCAAGATTGAAAAACATTTTGCACTCACTGTATTTACTTATTCTCTTTTGCAATCTGTAGTAATTTACTCTGCTCTAAAGCCTTTAATTTAAGGCAGGGGTCTTCAAACTTGGCCCTTTGATGACTTGTGGACTTCAACTCCCAGAAGCACATGTGCCTGGCTGAGGAATTCTGGGAGTTGAAGTCCACAAGTCATCAAAGGGCCAAGTTTGAAGACCCCTGCTTTAAGTGGTCCACATAAAGAAAAGCATTAAACTCCGAATAATTATAACCATATTAAACACGATCACAATCAGGGGCAAAAAAAAATAACACAAAGATGACAGATCCATTAAACGGATAGATAGATAGATAGATAGATAGATAGATAGATAGATAGATAGATAGATAGATAGATAGATAGATAAATAGTTGATAGGCAGGTAGATAGATAGATAAATAGTTGATAGGTAGGTAGGTAGGTAAATAGTTGATAGGAAGGTAGGTAGGTAGGTAGATAAAAGGTAGGTAGGTAGATAAATAGGTAGGTAGGTAGATAAATAGTTGATAGGTAGGTAGGTAGGTAGGTAGATAGATACAGGACAGCATCTTTATCCTCACGCGACCCCCTGGTTCACTCAATCGCCGCCCACCCCAGTCCGGTTCGCAGTCCACCCCGAACCAACCTCCCCCATTGAGTCCTGACACGCGTGTTGGCTTCAGGAGGCCGACCCAGGGCTGGTCGTGTGAATAGGGAGACCTCCCTTCCCGAACGTGGGGCGATCCCGTCCCCCCATCGCCCGGATCCCAGGGGCCGGGCCAGGGCAGGGCAGGGCGTGGGTCAGAAAGGGGATCCTCGGAAGGTTTCCCCACACGAGGACCTCGAGATCGGAGGATGACAGAGGAGCGAAAGGGGCAGCAGGACCGCCACAGGCCGGTGTTCGTCGGGGAAAGCGTTTCTCCCTGAGGGGGCAGAGCTTCACCTGTTGAGCTTCGCTCAGGGAAGCCCCCCCCCATCGCGGGGCCTTCCCTCACGTACTCACCCTCCTCCTCCTCCTCCATGTTGCTTCCGTTCGCCTTCCCTCGCGCTGCCCTCTTGGGGGAGGAGTGATACCACTGTTGTCCAATCAGGCGTCTCTCCTGAATGACCACCCCCTTTTTCAGGCCAATAGGAAGGCAAGCGCGGACAACGTCTCCCGCCTTCGTGAATTGGCTCAAAAGGCGATTGGAAGGAGGGAGATACTGTGGGCGGGACCGAGTCCCCCCCTCTTTTCTCAGCCAGTCAGCTTTTATTTAATTACACGAGGAAGCCGCTTGTCCTCCTTTACTTTCGGCAGCTGAGGGGGGTGTGGTGTGGTGGTGGTGACGTCACTGAAGCAGCCGCCCACACACCGCTGGGAAAGCCAATGAGAACCCGAGAGGCGAGCGTCTCTCTCTCGCGCGCGCGCGAGCCTTCCTCTTGCGGCCGGGGGAGGGGAGGAGCGAGACTGAGCAACGACGCCCCTCCCCACATGGAAGCGGGACGTGGGAGCCTCTCGCGAGGGACGTGCCCAATGGGAGGAGAGCGAGAGGGCGGCTCCGCCCCTTCCTCGCGCGAGAAGGGGCGGGGCGAAAGCAGCGCGATGACGCAGGTAGGCGGTGTGGAGGCGGAGGGAGTGGAGAGGCCGCGTCGCCTGGATTTGGGGGTGACGCGCCGGCGGGAAGGAAAGGCAAGGCGGGAGCCCGGGCGGAGGTCCCGGGGAATCAGGGAACGCCGGCGGGAAGAGTCGTCCTCGGAGAAACGAGGCCGGCGGGCGCGCCCCCGTGAGGTAAACGGGGCCTGCGGCCTACCGATCTTCCGATTAACAGTAAAGCGTTTCTAGCGCCTTTCGCAAAGCTTGCTGGGAATTCCCGCAAGGGATGCTGGGTAGAGAATTCCCCCCCCCCCGGAGTCCAGTACCCCGAGCTCTTCCCTCCTCCCCCGCCGATGGGGCGTCTTCTGCCCCCGTAAAGGGGGAAGGAAGGAAGGAAGGGCGGCCTGCGCGTTGCCTTCTCGGGCAGCCCCGGAGGGCCCGCGCCTCTCCCCGTAATTGAAACCCGTTGCCGTCGGGCGGGAGGACGCCCTTCCTGAAGCCGCCTAATCCTCTGTGACCTGCATTGGCCTCGTTTCCTCCTCTCTCTGCTTAACGCTTCCCCGCCTGCCTTCTTCCTCCTTGGGGTGTTACCACGCCTCGTTCTCTCGGACAGTCGCCGCAGTTTTATTTATCGGAGGCGGCTCTTCCATCCTGACTAGGCGGTGTGGCTTCTCTGTGTCACAGAATATATGTGGGTATATGCAGGTTGTTTTGGGTCCTGTATATTGGAGGGGGGGGGAGACCCTTTGCCAGCTGCGTGCAACGAAATGTCATTTTGCTGTATGGCGGTTAGTGTGTATTTAAAGGGACAATAAAGTTAGTCTAAGTCTTAAGTCGTCCCCTACCTGCTTAGATTAGCTGTATAACACGAAAGGGGCAGCTGCACCCTCCCCGCCTTGGAAAAGTGCATTGAAATGCTAACCTAAAGTTATTTTAAGGTTTTTAAGACAAATGGCTGTCCGGTCTCTTCTTAAAAACCTCCAGTGTTAGAGCATCCACTGGTTAATTGTTCTAACTGTCAGGCAGTTTCTCCTTAGTTCCAGGTTACTTCTCTCCTTGATTAGTTTCCATCCGTTGCTTCTTGTCCTGCCTTCAGGCGCCTTGGAAAATAGCTTGACTCCCTCTTCTTTGGGGCAGACCTTGAGAGATTGGAACCCTGCTATCATGTCCCCCCTTGTCCTTTTCTCCGTTAAACTAGATATACCCAATTCCAGCAACCGTTCTTTATGTGTTTTAGTCTCCAGTCCCCGATCACCTTTGTTGCTCTTCTCTGTACTCTTTTCCTGCCTGAGCAGAGGGTTGGACTAGATGACCTCCAAGGTCCCTTTCAACATCATCATTATTATTATTATCATCATCTTTTATTCATTAGACATGAACCTCAGTCAACTGAACATTCAAATTGGTTGGCGCTGATAGTTGACAGGGTTGCTACCAGCATCCTAGGTGTCAACCAGGTACCTCCTTAAAATATAAGATGTTCCCAGTAGCACAGTTTTTTATAATATTGCTGGAGTTATGACAGGAAGCTGCAGTTTCTTGATGTATTTTGCAAAGTTTTTAGACATAGTTCTCAGTGCCCTGATAATGGGTTACACGTTTCATCCATAATCGCGCAGTTTTGATGGCCAGGTTGCGATATTTCATAATTTTTTCCAGTTCTTTTTTTTTGACTTTGGCATCTCCTGGTACAGTGATATCAATCAGCTGTTATTATCATTATTATTATTTACGCGATGGTCTTTATTAGTCTGCTTCAACAGAACATGTGGATTTTAATAAAAAGTTGGGCACAGAAGCCCAAAGTCCCCCCTTGGAAATGATTTTTTTTCATGGATAATTTGGACTTGGCAAGGAATGAGGGAGGAAAAGGCTGTTAGGATTCTGAATCTCAATGTTCCTTTCCAAGATTTTGGAAAACGTGGGATTGGAGATGGTATGGAGCATGATAATTTTCTTTGGTAGTTTGAGTTGATAATTTTCTTTGGAAATAGAATAACAGAATAAAAGAGTTGGAAGGGACCTTGGAGGTCTTCTAGTCCAACCCCGTGCTCAAGCAGGAAACCTCATACCATTTCAGACAAATGGTTGTCCAATCCCTTCTTAAGAACTTCCAGGGTTAGATATATGCTTGATTCTTGTTTTCATATTTTCACAGTTAAAGCTATTTCATATTCTGCTTTCAGTTTACAAGGATGCTATCTATCCCTGGGTTTGAAACAAATTGAAAAAAAAATGCCTTTCAAGTGAGGACTAAAATAAACAAAAAGCCCATATTTTGCAAACAGAAATTTTGTTTACAGTTGGTGGTGACTATGTTTTTTGCAGCAAATATATTGAAGCCTGGCTGATATCTATTCTTTTGCATTTGTTTGCATATGGAAGTCATTGTTCATGGTTCCAGAAATGCAAATGTGCTTATCAAAGGAAATATGCTGTACATCTGTTCAGCTCCAAAACACAGAAGCTCTGAAAGACTCTCACCCAGCTTATCACCCAACATTGTTATGGGAAAAAATTGGAGGAAGGAGTGGTATGCACTCTTCTTGAGGGTGAGATATTAAAAAAAAGATACTAAGGCATTTTTTTCTGTTTTGAAATACTTAAGAGGGAAACTATCCATATCTGTAATAGATTTTGTTTGTTCTGTGATGCTAAACATTGTGTAGGACGGAGACCTTTTGCTGTCTTCACTAAGGTTGATCACTATTTTTTGACATTGTGAAGACATGCCAGCTAGACTAGATTATAAATCTAGATAGCCTGAAATATCAATTTTAGAATTATCAGAATTATTCTTATATCTTTTTCTTTCTCCATTCATATTCAAGCTTTTTTCCTTTTGATAATATAAGTTTTCTTACAGTGAAAGGCAGCTTTGGAACTAGCTGATTCAAATATTAAACAATTGATGCTTTGAATGTGCTTTAGTATACTTAGATTGCGATTAGTTGTTTGTGTTTAGCTCATTTTCTGTTTGGTCACTTTATCCCGCCCTAGTTTTTAACTACTGCTTTTACATACACTATATTGTTTGCAGTAATCTTCTCTCAGGCCAGCTCAGTTGTTGAGTTGTCTAGCAGAATTTATTGGATCACTGATTTGAGTCACTTTAATTACATTATAGTTTGCTGTTCATTATATGATGCTTGAGTTAGGCAGATCTGGGAGCATTAAGTATTGAGTACTCATTAGCTCAAGTAATGTTTAAGTCTCTCTCTGCTAATCATTGTGAAATGGCTGGAAGTGAGGAGTCCTAGAAAACATGTGAAAATTGGTAAGTTATGGGAGCATTTTGACACACTCCGGGAATGGTTAGGGTAGCTGTTATCTGCTGATCCATATCCCTACTACTATGGACTGAGATTAGAAAAAAGATTCATAAATTGCTTTGAAATTTTTTGAGTTGGATTGATTGAGCTCTGAAATAAATGGGAGAATATTGTAATAAGCTGGATATTATCCATATGCAGGAAGTACACATGGTCATTTCCCTGCTTACTAAACAGTGATTGAACTCAGTGATTGATCCAATGTCCTTAATAAGTACTTCAGTCTTATTTAAGAGCAGCTGTCTCATTTCCTGCTTTTGTATAACTGATTGCTTGTCTTCTACTGAAGGAGAATTTTGTTGGAAGAAAAAAAAAATCTGAGAATTGACTTTAAACATTGTGGGTTATTTCAAACCTGTTTGGAAACAAAATCAGTATTCTAGCCTTTGTTCTGTTCTGGTTGGTTTTGATCTCATTTGTCTTGGCCAAAGATTATTTACTGTCATATTTCCTATCCTTTTTTGTGATGGAATGCAAGTTTCTCAAAGTCTAGGGCAGTGATGGCAAACCTTTTAGAGACTGAGTGCCCAAAAAACGCCTCCACCTCACCTGCCCGCAGGGCCACCCACCACCTCCATGGCCCGCCTCAGATTGCCCAAGTGGCCCTGCAGCGCCATAGCAGCCATGCCCTCCACCTGTGCCGTGCAGCATCATCTGTGCGCAACAGGGTGTGAGGGCAGAGTCTTGTCCCCATTGCCCAGCTACCATGTCCGTGGCTGTGCTGCTCCATGCGGGCCGCGCCAGGGGGTGACTTTCCTCCAGGAGAGGAAGGCCCTGGTGAGGAAGGGCCACAGGGGGAGGCGGGGCTGGGGCAATGGTGTGCGTGCCCACAGAGAGGGCTCTGAGTGCCGCTTCTGGCACGGCGTGCCATAGGTTCACCACCACTGGTCTACGGTAATAAAATTGGCACTAGCTGATAAGTGGAGATTTCCTATGTATATAGTTTACTATATCTTCTCTCTCGGCACAAAATATACCTTAATATGTAATGTTTGTATGAAGGAAAAAAAATGTATGTTGAACTAATTAATTTGAAGAGGGCATTGTGAGTAAGATTTTGCTATGCTTTCCAGATTACCTCTCCAAAGAGGCCATGGCGCGACGCATGCGCAATAGCAGAGCTTGGCGATACGTTCTGAGTGGGGTACGCCGAGAATCGGATTCACGGACTTTAACAACGGCTTCTGGGACGCCTGGCTGGTCATCTGACACTGATGGGCAGGTGAAGTACCATTTGTTTTCTTGCAGGACTGCCTCAGATGTAATATCCCCTCGGACACTTGAGGCACTTTTGTGAGATTCTCATGATATAACTCAAGATTTTCCAGCATGCATTGTCAGGTGGTCTTCTCTGCATCGATAAATGGTTGTAAATTGTGACATAGTGGACGTTGATCCAGTGAACTGAATTCAGAGACCATACGCAGTGCTTAGAAGGCATGTCAATGCACACGTAATGCCTGCCAGGGATACGTTAACTTCAACACACAGGTTTTGGACTCATGCTTCACCTATGTGAGCCTGGAAAAATATGCAACTTCTTTTGCCTTAAATCACGTTTTCTTTTGAATATGGATCTCTGCGTACCCTTAGTTGATAACTAGGTTGGAATTGAATCAAACCTAAAAAAGTTTTAATGTTTTATACTGCACCTACTTCTTACCTGAGATACTAAATTGCTGGTTTTGTTGCTCTTCCCCCCCCCTCCTCTTTGGTTACTTTTTACCTTTTTTTAAACAATGGAAGCAGCTAACTAGAACAGGAAGGTCCTTTTATGGCTTATTAACAAAACCATCCTCATTGGGATTCATGGCTTCTTCCTTTTGAATAAACAATGAGAGTTTTTTTTTTTAAATGGAAAAAGCTTTAAATTTATACAAGCCATGGAAGGAAACAAGTTGCTCTTGCTGATAGAGTAAATGATCAGGCACAAAGTCAACTTTTTTTAGAATTATGCCTTAATGTAACTAGTACAAAGGCAGCTTGAGTGAAATATTTGTCTGGTGCTCTAACAGTTGTCCTGGAAAAAATAACGTGAGAAGTATATCTTCTACTTTTTTCTTTAATTTAGAAAAGGTAACAATGATTAAACCCTATTTTTAAAAACTATTATAAGCAAGACCCAGTGCTATGACTGTTTTATATGCTTGGTTATCAAACATCGATCTTTGTGTGTTTAACACTTCTTTAGCCCAATCTGCATAGAATCAAATATTTATGTTGCAATTAACTCCATGCTTAATCCTGGAGTTCATTAAGGCCAATTACCTTGAGTTTGGCAGGATTTAGTTTGATCCTAGTCAGAAAGATTGTTTAAAAATTAAAGACATATGGACTTTAGGACATAAGCATAGGGCTACGTGACATCCAGACCACATGGACCTTAAACGTTTCTCAGGGACACCTGTTGTTGCTAAATGTTTTCTTAGAATGAGAGGAAAAGGTAACCATTCTTTTTTCTTTCTCCAGCAGCACAGCGACTCTGATTCAGAGTCAGAATTTCCTTCTCAGTTGCCTTCCATACCCACAGCCATACCTGTGACAGGAGAATCTTACTGCAACTGCGAGAACCAGAACGAAACTCCATATTGCTCTAGCTTCCACATGGCTCATCGGATGAAAGATTGCCAGTGTGGAGAGGAAGATGATTGTGAGAAAGATCCTGTATTCCTTCTCTTGTTGATCATTTCAGTCTCAGCTTAGCTATAGGCGTATGAGTATATATTCTGAAAGAGACACACATGCACAGGAGAACATTTTGGGGGAATAGAAATCTCCCGTTTTTGCTATAATATGTACTGTGGAATATCCAGGAATATAGTTATAATTTTAGCCACTAAATCACTGTTTTTCAAACTTGGCCACTTTAAGATGTATGGGAGAATTCTGGGGGTTGAAGTCCACACCTCTTTAAAGTGGCTGCATTTGAAAAACACTGAACTATTGTATTCTTCAGCTAAGGGAAAATTGACACAACTTGAGGTGAAATGATTTGAAGTGTTCCCCATTCACATCACTTTTATCTCCCTGTCTTTCTCTTCAAAGATTTTGACTGGGTATGGGATGAATTGAACAAATCAGCAAATACTCTTTTGACCTGTGACAATCGTAAGGTAAATTTCCACATGGATTACAGTTGTGGGACCGCTGCCATCCGGGGGAACAAGGAGCTAGCAGAGGGCCAGCACTTCTGGGAAATCAAGATGACCTCACCTGTCTATGGCACTGACATGGTATGTTGGATAATACCTGAAAATAAAAAATAAAATATTTTTTAAAAAATCCAATAAGATTCGTCAGTAATTACATTTCAATGCTTTCTGTCACTGGGAGTTGGGCAACATTTACATCCAGTACATTATGGCTAGTAGTAGTAGCACTAATTGTTGTCTTTATTATTTTTTTTTAAGATCTATTTTGCTCCTCCAGCTCCCAAAAGTTTGTATCCAATTTTTCTTTTTTCTTTTAAAAAAAAAATGCAGTCAGATTTCACAGAGGATGGTCAAGTATCAACAAGGCCACTGTCTTGCTGGCATAAGCACCAGATAGCATTGAAATGGTGCCAGTATAGGAGAAGGGCAGGGACTGGATTTTACTGGTAGGAGGTAATTATGCTACATTTGTGTGAACTGAAAGTTTCTGTGAAGAAACCGCTTATATACACACGGACTGTGTACACAGTATACAGTAACATTCAGGCTGTTGTCCTTGTGACAGTCTCAACTAGAGTCCTCACAGTTTTTCCATATAGTGTCTTTGCTTTCTGGATGTGACACTGTTGTGGGAAGAGAATAATTGAATGGAGCCTTTTTAGTATATGGAAGATTTGGCATTTCTAGCTAAAAAAAACAGAGGATAAATATGTCTTAGAACACAATAGTACTGGATTAAATCACTAAATAAACCTGCTTCCTATAAGGCACGTAGCCATAGATCGTGATTTTTAAACCTCCAGAAATTGGGCTTGTATAGCATGCGAAATAATACATGACAGTGCCCAACTTACAATAACAGTTTGTCAGTTGCAGGTGCACTCATTAGGTGAATCACCGTGGGTTATTCATTATGATATCACGTGACTTTGACTTGTGACTTCCTTCTGGCTTTCCCACTGACATTGCTGCTTGGAAATCGGCTGTGAAAGATAGAAATAGTGATCACAGGACCTTGGGCTCCTGTGACTATTGTAATTGTGTCCAAGTGCCAAACACCCCAATTACGATCATGTGACTATAAGGATGTGCCATGCTTCTAACTCCTGATTTAGTGCTGCCTTAACTTTCAGCGGTCACTGAATGCATGGTTATTAAATAAGGACTACTTATATTTGACTCTGGTTAATGATCACTTTTGTGTTTCTTCCTTCCATCCCACGCCCTCTAGATGGTGGGAATTGGAACATCAGATGTGAACCTGGATAAATTCCGTCACACATTCTGTAGTCTGTTGGGAAAAGATGAAGACAGCTGGGGTCTTTCCTATACGGGTAATAGCAGCAAAGGTTTTATTTATTTATATCTAGATTTGTAACTTACATGTGAATTTTTGCAGGTATGCCTGAATATAAGAACTGTTTTTTTCCTGAAGTTTTGTGTGGATCTAACTGTCCCTTTGTAATAGTTGATTTGGAAATATTCTTTAGTTAATGTTAGAGAGCATTTTCTGACATGTACAGAGATCAATGGCTAAACATTTTGGGGGAAACTATTTTGGTGAAACATTAATAATGTTGAAAGGAAATGGATTGTTTTAGAAGATCTTAGACTTTGCTAAGACTTTAGGTAAGCAGATAATATCTGGTGAGAATATTGTTTTGCCTCTTGCATTACAAACTATCTTAAACAGAGTTAGATGAACTCTATAAGGTCCTTTTTACCTTTGCAGAAATTAGAAACCTACAAGGTTATAATTGCAAATGTCCCTTTCTCTGTAGGACTCCTCCAGCACAAGGGGGAACGGAACAATTTTTCGACAAGGTTTGGACAGGGCTCCATCATTGGGGTGCATCTGGACACATGGCATGGAACTTTAACCTTTTTCAAAAACAGGAAATGTATAGGTAAGGTGGAAGAGGCCAGATGAAATGTGGGAAATATATAGATAAAATTTATGGGAAGATTTTTAAAAGGCAGTTGATTGGTTCCCATTCCAGAGTCATAGACTTGTTTATTTTAATAGGGGAAAGATGGCATCTTGAGGTACATCTATCTGGAAAGGACCATCTATCTACCTGTTGAAAACTATCCTGGCACAGCATAATGTAGAGTAAAATAGAAGAGTATAATCCTACAATAAATCAGTTTAATTGATTGGTTGAGGGAAGGTGTCTCTGCTGGAGATGAAGCAAATAAGATTTTGTACCTATGTAAAATAATTTATGTCAGCTGCTCAGATACCGCACTTGTACAATTTCCTCAGAAGACTAAAAAAACTGTGCCTGGTCACTTTTCATTATTGGGTCCAGAGAAAAGGACAACAGAACCAAGCAGCTGTAATGTTGTTGTTAGTTGCAAAGTCATGTCCCATCCATCGTGACCCCATGGACGATGTTCCTCCAGGCCTTCCTGTCCTCTGCCATCTTCTGGAGTCCCTTGAAGCTCACGCCTCCTGCTTCAGTGACTCCATCCAGCCACCTCCTTCTCTGTCGTCCCCTTCTTCTATTGCCCCCCATCTTTCCCAGCATCAGGCTCTTCTCCAGTGAGTCCTTCCTTCTCCTTAGGTGGCCAAAGTACTTGAGTTTCAGCTTCAGGATCTGGCCTTCTAAAGAGCAGTCTGTAATGTATTTGTGGCCTAAAGTGAAAGATCCCATCGTAGAAACGCTAAGGAAGAAAGGTGGTGCAAACTTTACCCCCAGATAGTCTCTGTGTTGTCTCTTTTTCCCCCATCCCACACCTGCGTGTTAACCTGGGACCTCCTTGCTGATCTTTCGACTCAGGTGTGGCTGCCACCAAGCTCCAGAACAAGAGAGTGTACCCCATGGTGTGTTCAACGGCAGCCAAAAGTAGCATGAAGATCATCCGCTCCTGTGCCACCCCCACCTCTCTGCAGTACCTCTGCTGTTACCGTCTCCGCCAGCTGCTTCCCGACTACGTGGACACGCTAAAGGTTCTCCCCCTCCCTCCAGGACTCAAGCAGATTTTGCATAACAGGTTGGGCTGGGTGTTGAGCATGAACTGTGGCTCCCTCCAGTCCTCCTCCTCCCCCTCCCCCTCTTCCTCTACCTCCTCAGGGAGCGATTCAGACAGCTCTTGCGGCTCAGACGCTGAGGCGCGTCATCGGAAGAGATGCAGGTGGAGGACTTAATTCCCCCCCCCCCAATTTCAAAAGACGGTGTTGTCGTCGTGAAGGATGAGCTGTCTCCCCCCCCCCGTGTTACCGAGTGACGTTTACCTTCCTGATTGTTCCCTGTTTGAACACTAAAGCCCATTTCAACCTACCATTAAGAGACAAGCAATTTCCACGACGTTATTCTACCACCTAGCCAGCGGGTCATCAACTCTGCTTTGCCAAGATTTCTGGGACAGGTTGTTCGGCAGCCCAGTGTACCGATCAGATATCCTTCCTGAAGCGAAAGGAAACCTAAGAAGCTACCACGTGTGCTAGGTGAATTGCAGTAGATGGCGCCCGTGTTTTGGAGCGGAGCAGGCTATCCAAAGCCAAATGGTTCTCCTCGATCGTCAGTGCTTCGGCCCTTGATGAACATCCAGAAGAGAAGAACATTGACAGCGTAAGGGGTATCGTGAGCCCTGTACCTCTTCCACTTGCTTTGCATGTCTATTACTTCTCTTGTATTGAACTATACCCAGACGAATTAAAATATATACAGACTTTGTTCCCGTGATGATAGGCTAGTCCATCAACCTAACTGTCCCTCTCATCTAAGGTAATTCTAATCAGGTTCCCTAATTCTTCATTATTGGGAGTCAGACAATGCCAGGCTAGTAGTTGGAATTATGTGAATGAACTTCAGCGGTGGATGTCCCCCCCCCGCCACCCTTTCTTTTGGATCTTGAATCCTGCATTTCCTTCCACAGCTAGCCATAATCTACTTCTTTAGAGGTATTCCCATCCCATGTGTATTTAAATATTCCAATTCGTTCTTCGATTTTTGTCATAAAAAGGAACTGCAACGATGTGTACTGGCGGGGCATTTTGCAGTTTCAAAGCCAGTATTGGTTATGGTTTTTCCCTGTTTTACTTAACAGCTCTGAGGGGAGCCAGAAAAGGCTCTCTTTGATATTTTTAATGTATGGATAAGCACAAGGGCAATTACGTTCCCTTCGGTTTCTCCTGCGCATGACGAAGTGTGGTTCATTGTGAAAGGAGGTGTATGAAGGGAACAAAGCTGCATCATTTTGTAATAAACCATTATTAATTTCCGAATTTAACCATTGTGTGATTTGGCAGTATAACAGACTCCCAACTCCCTTGTTATCGTCTGATTAAATGAAAGCAGCACTGAGCTTTAGTTTCAGTGGAATTGATTATTTAACTGAGATTAGGGTTGCACTATAATAAGGGATTAGGTGTTCCTTTTTTATATATAATGTTTTCTGCAGCTAAAATAACCATTAGCCCTTTTACACACAAGCTAGGTTCTCTCAGAAATATTGCCACCATGCTACATTATGGTTTAATATATGAACCCCCAAAAATATGCCAAGGATGTCTTTACAAATTCAAACATGATATGTAATAATAGCGTAAAATAAATTATTCAGCAGAAGAATGGAGACTTTTAAAAAAAACAGTCAAGAGAATCTCATTTGATCGCATTTGTGCACAAAGACATTTATTGATTTTGCCAAACTCAATTTCTGCAATAAATCCTACAGCTTTGGCAGGAAGCTATAAGGCTAAGGAGCCATGACCCGGTGGTTAGAACAGCATAAGGTGCTTCAACAGCTTAAATCTAGGACAAGCTCTGGGTTTGTAGATACCATGAAAAGGTAGACCCGGCGAGATAGGTCTGGGCCAATCCGTCTCTCTGTTTTATTGTCCTCGGTCCTGATCTGGAGGTTGCTTAGGAGAAGTTGTCTGTCTGCATCTGTATTGCATTCTTGGTAGGCCTGGAAAAAAAAGGAAGGATACCCAATCGCCATGTATATCTGGTAATCTAGTTTCTGCCTGCTTGAGTTATTTCAGTGTTAACCCCCTTTCTCCCTAGCTTCGTTTTAAAACCATTGTCTAGTGCTTGATAGCAAAAATGATGGGACAGCTAGCCTGGTTTGCTACTAGAAGAACAGATCTGGGGCATCGCTAACAAGCCTTTGGCTTTGGGTTAAAAGATTAGGCAGAGTCCAGTGGAACCAATCAGTTCAATTACAGCTTCTCTTATTAGAGATCTAATCTACAGTTTGTTTCCTTAAGGAGGATCCTTAGGTAAACAGAACCCCCATAGCTAACAGGAAGCAAAGCCAGGGAAACAGTATTTACAGCAGTGGTTCTCAACCTGTGGGCCGGGACCCCATTTGGGGTCGAACAACCATTTCACGGGGGTCGTCAAACAACGCAGTCCGTCATTTTTTTCCCCTTTTCCTTAGCTGTGCTACTCCCTTTTATTCTATTGGCTTTTGAAAGCCAATAGGAATTGTCCAGGCTGTCTTTGCCCTGCTGAACCCGCCAAAAGTCCCATTCTGCAAACGGTGCTGCAAGTTGTCTGCAGCGAAGGTGAGCTGTCTGGAAGTTTCCACCCCACCCTGCTGAGCAACTACTAAAAATGTAAGTAAAAGAGGGCCAGGGGTGGGAGGTGGGAGGCCGGCGGGCACAGGGAGGGTTGGTGCGCGTGGGGCCCGGCGGGTGCCTTACCTCCCTTGGGCTGGGCCAGCTGGTGGCCCAGCTGGTGGTCGGCCTGCGCCATCTCTGCCGCTTGCCAGCTACGCTTCGGCCGGCGCAGGGGGCGGCACCGGCAGGGAAAGTCCTCGACTTACAACCGGTTGTGTAGTCCTCGACTTACGACCGGTTGTGTAGTCCTCGACTTATGACCGGTTGGGGGTCGTGGCATTAAAAAGGTTGAGAACCACTGATTTAGAGGCAGGGGGGAAAAAAAAACCCTAGCCCAGAAATGCTTCTTCACCCAGGAGAACTCAACAGGCTTGGAATAATCAGAGAAATATGGAGGGAGAATGGAATGAAGGTTATTAGGAGTCCCTTATCCAGCCTCCATAGTAATTCTCGACTGCAACATCTGAGTAAACGTCCCACCAGTATGATTTTCCTCTTCGCTGATGTCTCCGTGCCTTTTGCTTGCAGTCTACTTAACCCTACGCTGAGACAACAGAAACCTGGCCCCTATTCTTGAGAATCGCCTCCCTTGATTTCCCCTCTCTACCGCCAAGACAAAGCGACTGGTGGAACGAACTGACCTGTAGCAGCAGACTTGGCGAAGGGAAGGCTTGGGCAATGGCTGCTGCCATGGCTGGACTGACTCGATTGAACTGCTGGATCTGTTTCAGCCAGGTCTCCTGGAGCCCTTTCCCGCCCTTGCTAATATGCACACCACTAGCCCACTTGCCTTTGGCGCAGAAGGAGAAAAGCTGCTTTTCCTGATGTTTCCTGTCGAAGAAACCGTTACGTACAGGTTATACACAGGTTACCATTTTGGCTTAAAATGCCTGAACTGACCTCATAGTAACCTGTTCCGAGGGTTGTCTTGAGTCTTGACTGTTTCCGTGCTGGTCAGAACGTCCCATTCCTAAGATTGGGCTGGGACCATTTGGGGCTCAGAATGTTCCCTGCCAAAATACTGTTTAACGCGAAGTAAATACTATCCACGGACCACGCAAGACTAACTGTTGCAAGCGAAGCGGAACAAAACATGCAAAAGCATACTTTGTGACTTGTTCTGAATACAGTACAACGTAAATCAAGCAGCTGTACCAGTATAACGCTAAATGTTTTTTAAAGAATCTCATTGTATTATCTTTGGTCCTGCAAAGACAAAGTCACACAAAAACCTTATTTACAGGTTAATGTTTTTTTTTTAATGAAAGGATTGTGGGATAGTCTTTTGGTTCCTACTTCACGGCTCCAAAGCTTTGCCAAGGCAACACGACAACTGACACTCACTTATAGGGACGCTGTGCTACAGCTCTGGTCACTGCAGAAACATGCTGGGCCAATTCCTGCCATGTTTCCAGGAATAAGACGTGTATGTTACCCCGGAGTTGCAACACCACCAGAGCCTGCAGGAGAAAGTTGTAGAGACTCAAACAAGAAGAAAAAAAAATATATTTGGCTTTCTGCATACCGGGTGAAGTTCTGGGGTTCAACACTCTTCCCATCCATCTCGGCTAAGGTTCAGCAATGATGAACTGGTAATTCCTATTTTAGTGTTTTTGCTGTATTATCCTTGATGTGGTGTAGGGGTGTAAATTAAATCAGGCAAGGAATGAGAGTGATAACCCGGATGCCCCCGAGGGAATGGACCCCTTTGTTGTGGTTGATAAAGTCATCGTTATGTTTACCTCCTCAATTTGATGCCGTGTCATGGACTGTTCTGGACCAAGTTGCAATGTTGCATTCTCCAGTCCAGTGATCAGTTCTTGCGGAAGCTGACGATTCTGGTTATACCTAGGCAGTTCAGAGGAGAACCACAATTCGAGAATTAATATTTTGGTACAATGGTTAAAGGTACCAAGCTAGAACCCAGAAGACTAGTTCTGTCTTAGGCACAAAGCCAGCTGGCTAATTTTAGCCCAGTCTCTTTTTCCATCCTGGGAAGAAGGCAGCATGAAACCACTTCCAAAATTCTTACTAAGAAAAGAGCAAGGACTTGTTCAATCACCAAGAGTCAAGACTGAGTCGAAGACCTAAAATTATTTTTGTCGAGCTACTGTAGCTTGGAAACTTGCATGCAAGGAAAGTATGTTAATTTAAAAACCACCGAGGCAGTTGATAGTAAAGAATGAACTTGTCTTACTGCCTTTCGTTGTTAGAAGTGTTGCTGCTGCTTCCTAAGAATCTTACATGAGCTTGAAAATGCTAAGCAGGATTAGATTGGTTAATACTTGGAAAGGATGCAGCCAGGAAATCCCAGCATTATAAAAAAGACTGGAAAGCTAAATTAACATCCGGAAGAAGGTAACAGAATCGGGAGACGTGGTGCACTTGAGTCTTCCTGTCAGTATTTGAGTTTGTTCTGTATTTAGTACCAGTTTATCCTTTAACCAGAAAGCCGGCTATATGGCTGAAATCGCAGAATCCGAAGCCCAGAGCTAGACTTAACTACTTCCCTGCCTCAAATAGCCTTAAGTGAAAAAGCACAAGCAAGACTGTGTTTACACAATACCTTTTGAATTAATTTTCCCCAGTTAAGTGGGGGGATAGCATGTTTATACTATCTGTTTCCATTATTTGTTGGAAATCTGCAGTATAAAAAACCCAAGATTGTCATGAAACAAATGTAAGGGTCAACAACGAAGACCTGCAATTCTGTATGTCAAGAACACCGTGAGAACGTGTTGCTCTTTGGGACCCACAACTCAAGACAGCCCTTCCAATCCCATGTACCATTGGTAGGTGTCTAGTCCGATGACAACCACGCTGTAAGATACTATAGAAGGATCTTCCAAATTGTGAAAGGGACACAGATGAGTAAGATCTGGAGCACTCTGCTGGCTATCAGGATTTGCATTCTAAAATTAGAACAAGATTTTAGAATAAAAAAATCATCCACTTTTACATATGAATTTAAAAACTATTTTGTATTCCACCGGTGAAGGAGTTCCAACCTCAAATGGGTTTGCATTAGTTTTCTTAGGTGGAAAAGACAACATTAAACTCCCAGGTAAGTGCATTAGAGTCATTTTACCAATGGTTATCAATGGCATGAACCTCCCCTGGTGTGCCTTTTGAGGTTGGATTATTGTGATGGATTCTTTTCAAAATTGGTTCCTCTCAGCATAAATACTGTCATAATTGTTTGTAATTTGAACCATCTTCCTTTGTATTAATACCCACCACTTGGCTATCTTTCATCAGTCAGTTGAATATACTTGTGTTCTATTTCCAGGTGCAACTATAGTACGCCAGTACCTATTATATCTCACTTACAAATTTGAACAGTAAACTGAGGCAGAGCAGGGGAACCCTTTTACTCTCCTGGCTGAGTCTATGCAGTGTACATTTTTTTTTAAATGTGAGAAATAAAATTACCATACTTTTTTCCATCATATGTCTTGGCTCACCTTTTTTCCCTGCTCACCTTTTTTTTTGCTTAGTGATTCCAGTACTGTCCTCTTGGATTCTGCCTGCTGTCAATCTAGCTTTCTATTGCATTTCCTCTCAATTATTAAGCTTCATCTCCCTGGGTGTTTGGAAATAAGATAAAACTCTGAAACACACCATCATCTTCTCTCCTCATCCTTCTTGTCATGTAAGGCATAACAAGCAGAGAATCGGGGCAAAGGGGGCCAGTAAAAATGGAGCAAAAGAGGACAGTTAAGCAACTGGGAAGGAAAGCTTACGCCATTTAGATTCATATTCACAAATTAAGGGTATTGTACAGCACCTGCACCGATGATGACAGTTGTCTGAGGAAATATGAAGGCTGCATCACTAACAGGACCTCCTTTTCCACTGCAGTCTCTTCTTGACAACCATCCTGCAGAAATAAAGTTAATCTTTTGCCAGAAGAGAAAAAAAGAATAGTTTTGCTAGCTCAAACTAAGAACTTACTACACCCAGCATCCGCTCCCAACGGTGGTTTACTGAAACAGAAGAGATCCTGAAAGTGCTCTTAGTTTAGTCTTCATTCACCTCATGCTTGTATTCTCTTATCTACTCTCGTGGATTTCAAATTGTTTTAAAATTCACGGTCATAGACTAGCTCACATCCCAGTTTTTAGTGCAAGAGTCTAAAGATGTCGCCCATTTATAGCAATAACGGAATCAATGATAAAAAAAGGTTCTGATAAAAGTTGACTGCCCTTGCCTCCCGCAAATCATAACCTGTAGTAGGTAAACCTAGGTTTTAAATATATGGGCTTTAAATACTAGGAAGTTTGGCAAGTCAGACTGATTTATTAATTGAACAGCCACAGAACTATCAAAATCAATGAGTTTCATAGCTGACACATCCATTAGGGAACAAATATGGCGTAAGTGAGCCAAGCCCAACAGAGACTGAGTCTGGACTCTCGTTGTAGCTACTACTATCTTCCTTGACTGCTTTGTGTCGGTTTCTTCTATTAATCTCTGAGCTGGAATTTAGCAGCTATGGCAAAACAGGTTAATGAATCAGCAGTAATCCATATAGGCCACAGAGAAGCACTTTGCACATGGCTGTCCTCCACTTCCAATAGAGAAATCCATTCTATATGAAATATGTTGCTGGATTTTCCTTCAAAGCGCATCAACAATAATGTGTTTATTGGAGCTGGGCCAACTCCCTTTGATGTGATGCAGAAGCAACCCTAAATGAATGCAAACCTTGAAGGACTGAAAAGCAGATGAGCAGAGTAAGGAATCAGTTGTAACACACACAGAGACACACACGATGTTGTTTCTTTGGCTATCAATGGAGTTTTGATTCAGATGCTTACTGAATTAGGCGTCCTGCTGAATATTTTTCTCTTCCAGGTTATGCTATGTGGAATTCTCTGACTTTCAATATAGTATTTACAGTCCAAAGAGTCCAAAACTTCCAGCAAGTTATCAGAACCAAGGTGCTCTAGAAGACCTGAAGAGGAAGGATAACAAATGATCTTTTGATGCCATGTAAAATCTACAGCATAGTACTATGCCAAAATCTTTCCCCCTAATTCCCTCTCGGTAAAATACAGGCACAAAATGGATAGGTTGGTGTCGTCTTTAAGGCAGAGGTCGCCAAACCTTTGGGAACCAGGGACCGGTTCCGTGGAAAGGTTTTTCTGTGGACTGGAGGGTGCGTGGTTTTGTGAGCTGCCTGCATCCCACGGATGGGGCTTTGTTTGTGTGGACCGGTTGCTGACATGCCGTGGCCCAGTACTGGTCCACAGACCGGGGGTTGGGGAGCCCTGCTTTAAGGCATTGAAGACTGAGTTCTGGTCCCACCTTAGGCACAAAGCCAGATGAATGATTTGGGCCTGGTCATTTTCTTCACCCTAGTAAGGAGGCAATGGCTAATTGCTCCCAAAACTCTTGTCAAGAAAAGTGCCATTTGGGTGTAGTGGTTAAAGGTACTGGGCTAGAAATGAAAGCGTTTTAAGTTTAGTCCTGCCTTAGGACTCTAGCTGGGTTTTCTTCTGAAATCTTGCCAAGAAAACTGCAGGGACTGATGTAAAGGCACTAATAATACCAAACCAAAAGTGGAAATGAATAATCATGCAATGTAAACAAACTACCTGAATCCACACAGACAATCATTTGCTTCATGCACTGATCAGGCCGAAGGAATTTTAAGGCAGATGCTGCTTCCTTTTGTCTCTGTTTCTCAGCTGCAATCTGCTGTTTTATCCTCATTTTCTCTTCTTTTTTGTGCAAGCTCTTCTGTTTTTCTTCTGTTTTTATCTGGGCCATCTTGCTTTTTTCCAGCGACTGCTTTTTCTTCTTTCTCTCTGGCGTTGAATTACAGGATACTATTTGTGTCAACGGTGTAAGCAAAGGTACTGCTTTTGCCTCCATCAGTGCCACTGGGCAGGGCTCTAATTTTTGTTTGTCTGAGCAGCCCTCCTTGTCAACATCTGAATAATTAGCAAAAACAGTTGAGGATTCTGGTTCAACATCACTGCCTTCCTCAGAATCAGAGATTTCCCATGTGATCGCTCTTTTAACAAACTGGCAGTTTTCATCAAGAGCAACACTCTTTTTTCCCTCCATGGTTTAAGTTTACCCTCTTGCTAGTCTATATTTTCAACTGAAAATGTTAAGGAAATCAGCAGCAGTCACAGAATCGCAGCTATGTAAAACTATCAAAAGCTGGGCATTTAAGGAAACTTGCAGGAAAGCTCCCATGTGTAATCAAGATAAGAATCTACGTTCTCCTCAATATAAACAGGCTATGGTCATTGCCAAGCCACTCTTCAAGTACCCTAATTAAATGTTGGCTACCAGTCAACACACTCAATTTGATCAGAAAGACAGGCTCACCTGATTTCCTTTCATTAACAGAAAGTTTTTTTTTCAAACCAAGTCCTACTCAAAGAGCTCTCTCTCTCACACAATTTGGATCCTGTGGATACAAATACTGTAAATAGAAGCCAGCTTATTTATAGAATCTGAAGTCTCTACACTTGGAAATTTTTGCTTATGCCCTCCAGTTGAGCAAAGTTTTTCCCCACCACTAGGCATTTCCATCAATGCAGCAACAGTTGATCAAGTGTTTTATCTGGGTCGCTTGAGCAGGACCAAGGTAGAAAATATTGTAGGTCATCGCTCGGGGAAGGGGCGGGGTGGGGGAGATAAAAGGCAGCAAGGAAGCCACACGTCCAGAGTGCCCCTCGGGCGTACCCGCTACAGCATTTCCAACCCTGGAAGTGAAATAAGACGATGCATTTCACTAGCAAAGGCAGTTTCTAGGCACACGTATCCCTCCATCTATCCTGGTCTCAATGATTGAGAAAAGGCTTTTCAAGCAACCTTTTGCTACTCGGAGCGTGACAAAAGGACCATTTCGCCGAAGAGGAAAAACAGCCGCCAAACACGAGGAGGAGGAAAGCGAAGAGAAGAAGCAAAGCAGCTCGGAGGAGTCATCGGGATCGTCTTTTGAAAAAAAATAAATAAAATGAAAATCCCTTTAGGAAAGCAGCGGAAGTGTTGCCTGCCGGATCGTTTATAGCGACGGACCTCCCTTCTTTCCTGAGCGTCTAACAACCTAAGGCCGGAAGCAACAAGAGCGACTATTCGTGGGCGGCCGGATGATTTATAGGGACGGACCAGCCTCGGCTGAATTTGAGACTATTCAAAAAAAAAAAAAAATGCCGGGGCGGAAGTGTTCTTCGCCGGGCGTCATATGAGGTTGCACCATCCCTGCCGGAGCTTCTGCGAAGGTTTGGGATTCAAGCAAAGGCCGAAGAGGGGCGGAAGTGTGGCTCGGGGGAGGATTTAGGGAGCGGGGCCGCCCTTGGTCGGAGCGGTGCCTTTGAGTCGCCGGGGAATCAGGAGCGAGAGAAGGAAGCCCAGGGCTGCTAAAAGGAGCCGGGTTTGTTAAGGTGCAGGACTTCTTTGGTCTACCCAACAATAACCCTGCGAGGTAGGCTTAGGGAGAGAGAGAGAGAGAGAGAGAGAGAGAGACGGAGGGACGGGGAGAGAGAGGGAGGGATGGAGAGAGAGAGGGAGGGAGGAAGAGAGACGGATGGAGAGAAGGAGGAAGGGAGAGAGGGAGGGATGGAGAGAGGGAGGGAGGAAGAGAGACGGATGGGGAGAAGGAGGAAGGGAGAGAGGGAGGGATGGAGAGAGGGAGGAAGAAAGGGAGGGATGGAGGGAGGGGGAGGGGGAGAGAGACTCAAGCTTTCCCTGGACAACCATTTGCCCATTTATAGGGTCCCCTGCTTGAGCAGGGGGTTGGACTAGAAGATCTCCATGGTCCCTTCCAGCCCTGTTATTATTCTGTGTTCTAATTTAAACTTCTGGAAGGAAACGAAGGCAATGCTTTGGCGACATTGGGTGTGTTAATAGAATAATGCCGGGATTTGTCTAAAACTGGTAAATGCTAACAGAACTGCAGGCACCTGCCCAGGGCTGATTTTAAATCAAAATTCGTTTGTAGCATTAGAATGGCTTAACAATCCTGTGTTATCATTCCATAGGCAGCGATGGGTCGTTACAAGGGATATCGCCCGATTGCAGCCAAGGCCAAGAAAATCCGCGAATACTGGGCTTTAAAAAATCGACCTCGTGACTCCCAGCGTTATGAGGTGGACTACGAAAAGATGACCCGGGCCTTCACAGGCAAGCGCCTCCCTGTGCTGGCCTGGGAAGATGTGAGGAATGAGAACCGGCTTTTTATGCTGCTCTCCCGCTTGCACCTCTTCGGTATCGGCAGGATGGTCACACGCAAATCCTGGATATGGGAATACGATGAGCCTTGCTATTGGGTCATTACTAAAGTAAAACTGGATTATACAGCTGAGGTGAGTGTTTCCACTGGCTGGAGAAAGGGGAAAATTCAGGCATCCTAGAACAGGGAGTCCTCGACTTACAGCAATTAGTTTGGTGACTGTTCAAAGTTACAACAGCACTGAATAAAGTGATTTATGACTGTTTTTCACACTTGCGACCATCACAGCATCCCTCCCCCATGGTTATGTGATCAAAATTCAGATGCTTGGCAACTGGTTCATATTTATGACGGGGTCGCAGTGTCCCGGGATCATGTGATCAATCTTTTGGGACCTTCTGACAAGCAAAGTCAAGGGTGAAGCCAGATTCACTTAACGAAGATGGCAAAAAAAAACCTTAAAATGGGGCAAAACTCACTTAACAAATGTCTCATTTAGCAACATAAATTTTGGGCTCAGTTATGGATGTATATCGAGAACTACCTGTAAACAAGTTGTTTATTCATTCACTTTATTTTTATTTGTAAAATTCATTAGCTGCCCATCTTATAATAAGATAACTCGGGTCGGCTTACAATATTAAAAGATGAAACTGTACACAACCTGATGATATAAATAAAATCAACCTCGCTAACAAGATGGGGAGTAAGGGAGTAGGATGAGAAGAGGAGGGGGTGGGATCTGTTGTAAATCTGTCGACCGCATCCAATGTGAAAATCCTTAGTTGGAACCCCAGGCCAACAGGCAGAGCCAGTTCTTTTAAGCTCTTACAAAAGGCAAGGAGGTTTGGAGCTTCAAGATGTTTCAAAGGGCAGGCACAATCCTCATTTAACAACCTTAATTGGGTTGGAATTTCTTGAAAATCGACTTTTAGTTTTGGTTTAAATTCAGACACTCCCTCTTCCCTTCATCTTGAATGGACTATAATCATTTGATGTTCTTTCTTACAGAAAATGGAACATGGGAAGGCCTGGGGATATTTGACATTTAGAGGTAAGGGAAGATTTGCTTTTATGGATGAAGATTTCATGATGAAGCCTTTAGCAAGGACGAGGTTTCATGAGAGAGAGAGAGAGAGAGAGCAAATCTTTTGGGCTCGGGGGATCAAAAATTAAGAAATGCCTAATTTGATTCTCCTGATGTATCAACTCCCCCCCAACTCTGAACAAAAAAGAATTCTTTATGCATTTATATATAAAAATGTACAGTCAAATCGTGTGGCATTGTGCATTATGTAAAGAAACATAATTTCAGAAACATAATCCAAGTAAAACCAACCGCATGCAGTCTATGCTTTCAGATCTGTCTTTTCACCGCGTGTTCCATCCTGGCAAGACTTGCCTGCATTTATCAGGACCTCTCTCTTCCTCTTCTCAATTGCTTCTTAGGCAAGCCCGAAAACGAAGAGAAAGAAATAGACAAAGTAATGTACCACGACTGGCGCATGGTACCCAAACATGAGGAGGAAGCCTTTAAGAAATTTACCCCTCCCGTGGAAGAAGAAAAAATCCGCTATGTCCTCTATCCCCCGCTGCTGCGGGCCATGATCCTTGCGCAGAGGCAGAAAGAAGGTAAATCAACGGAAGAACCATTGCTTGACTTAGAGCCAGCTGTTCACCTCCTAAACGCGTCCCCCGGAAACCAAGCTGAAGGGACCCCGGTCTGAAGACTTGAGGACTTCGAAATGGCACTTGGTTTGTTACCTTCTCAGGTGTGATCACACAGCTCAACTTTCTTATTCTGCCTTGCACTGAGGTGTTTTTGGGAAATACGATCCTGTCACTGAGGCTGGGGAAAAAAAAAACCCCACCAGTAAAATTATAAGATAATTTTGCTACTGAAATCTTCCATTGACATTTCCCCAATTATCCTGTCTTGTTTTTTAGATTTGTTTTTATTTCCCATTCCTGTGTTTCTTGTGGCTACCTGATCAGGTCCGAGGAGAGCACAGGGCATCAATCTATTTGTTTTAATAATGAGGCAATATAAATTAAAGAGAGTCCTAATTAAAATAACGGATTGGAACGGAGATCAATCTCTGTCCTAGCACGGCACCATCTTCCTCTCCTGAATCCAGTCACAACCTTAAAATGTGCTGTTGTGTTACTGAATGCCATTTAAAAAAACAACAACAACAACAGCCTCACTCTCTTCTTTATGATGTGGCATTGTTTTTTCCTGCATTTTCAAATGTATTGGTGAAATGAAACGGGGTTGTTATGGGGAAAAGAAGAGGACAAAGGAGTATTAGGTATGTTTGCTGCCTTGAGTTATTTGTAAAAATAATAAAAGTAGGATACAAATGAATAAAAAAATGTTAAAATCGCTGTCCTCTGAAACAGACGCACACTATGAACTGGATTGGTGGAGAAACGGTGTCACTCCTGAATGGGAGGATTTCCTTGGCCAACATTGCACTGCAGCATCACTAAGTTTTTTACATGTGTGTTTCATGTATGTATTAGTGTTTCTAAATGCCTCCGCTCTTTACCCCAGAGCACATAACAGTAAGATCACCGCCCCTTAGAAAGTAATCAAATAGAAAGCCATGGGACTCTTGCTAGCTCTTACAGTGGCACCCACTGGAAATGTTGATGAAACTTCTTTTCCAAAATTAATAACTGACCGTCTTTGGTTTTCTTTTTAATGTGCAATTTAATTTCATTTTAAGGGCAAAACAATCAGCAAAGAGGGGAGGGGTTGACGTTGATGGACCCCTCATCTGCATAATAACAGGGGTTCCCCTGAAAAGCCAATAATGTCTTGTGCTTTTGGTTGTTGTTGTTTTTGACGATAACCTTGATGTTATCTATTCAGCTGTATCCAATTCTTTTTTTCTAATTTTATACAATTAACTTTCCATTACTGAATTGCGGAAGAGTTGATTCTTCTGGGAGAAAACAGATCCTGAACCAACCAGAAGCTTTGAAGAGCTTTTTCATCTTAGAAACCAGGACAGATTGTTCATTTTTTCTTTTTCTTTTTTTTTTGTGGCTGATAAAATAAACAATTTTGAAGTGCAAAATCCTCAACTTACGATCATAACGAAGCCCAAAATTTCTGTTGCTGAGCAAGGCAGTTAAGTGAGTTTTGCTTCATTTTACAACCGTTTTGCCACCGTTGTTAAATGAATCCCTGCCATAGGCACGTTAATAACACGGTTGTTAAATAACGTAGCTTCCCCATTGACTTAGAAGGTGATCACATGACCCCAGGACATGTCATAAATATGAGCCAGTTGCCAAGGGTTCGAATTTTCTTCATGTGACCATTAGGGATGCTGCAGTGGTCATCAGTGTGAAAAGCCCTCATAAGTCACTTTTTCCAGTGCCGTTGTAATTTTGAACAGCCACTAAATGAACTGTCGTAAGTCGGAGATTATCTGTACATTGGGGGTTTTTTTTTAAGCTGCCCAGAGCTTGAGCAGGTGGCCATTCCAATTTTCTTAAATAAATATAGAAATAAACTTCCTTCCTGAACCTCCCGGGAATATAGACCAGTCTTTTAGATTCTGTGGCCTGGAGATAATTGGATTTTAGTGGCCAGTAGCTCCTGCCATTATGTCCAAGGATGATGGGTGCTGAAATCTAAGCTTTGGAGAGCCTCTGGTTCCTTAGTCCCCCCTCAATATCCTCTGAAGCTTTTCATCTGGATTAAGTATGAGTGGTTTAAGATTTAGGCTTGAAAGCAGCAGAAGGAGTGTGAAAAATGACACCGTATTTTGAATCTGCGTATCAGTGTTAAATATAATGCTGCTTTGCCGCTTAGTACAATGCACACATTCTATCAAGCCTCTTTAACATTCTGTCAACCGTCTCCCCTGTTAGGAGGTTTAATTTTCTCCAATGAGAAAGTAATTTGGTACGAAAACTCGGCAGCCTGACAATTAAAAAAAAACATTTTTGTATTAATTTGAAACCTGCGACTGGAATTTTAGGCGGTGTGATTGACTTTGCTAATCGCCCTGCTTGTTTATATCCTATTAGAGCCGAGGCGCGCCACCACAATCATTTTACACAATGAAAGACAACAATGGGAATTACTCTTTGCCGTTATTCACCCCGTTGCAAAACTGGCTTGGTTTGAAATTTAAAAAGGTGGTGTGACACGTACACCAAGAAAATTGGGTTAACTGAGTACAACACAATCCGAAAGCTCGTAAGATTCCATCTCTGGTCCCGGTGACCGACCCAGACTGGATCCTGAGTACAACACTGTTTAAAATGGAGAAATCTTCGGGCAAGCAAGTTTTTTGGATCCAACTGAGCTTTGGAAAAATTATAATCAGGTCGTCCTCAATTTGCAACCATTTCTTTTTTTAGTGCCCATTCAAATATAATAATAATAATAATGTTGGAAGGGACCTTGGAGGTCATCTAGTCCAACCCCCTGCTCAGGCAGGAAACCCTATACCATTTCAGACAAATGGCTATCCAGTCTCTTCTTAAAAACTTCCAGTGTTGGAGCATTCACCGCTTCAGGAGGCAGGTTGTTCCACTGGTTAATTGTTCTAACTGTCAGGAAGTTTCTCCTTAGTTCTAGGTTGCTTCTCTCCTTGCTTAGTTTCCATCCATTCTTTCTTGTCCTGCCTTCAGGCGCCTTGGAAAATAGCTTGACTCCCTCTTCTTTGTGGCAGCCCCTTGGATATTGGAACACTGCTATCATGTTCCCCCTCGTCCTTCTCTTCATGAAACTAGACATACCCAATTCCAGCAGCCTTTCCTTTAGCCTCCAGTCCCCTGATCATCTTTGTGGCTCTTCTCTGCACTCTTTTTAGAGTCTCAACATCTTTTTTTACATCGCGGTGAGCAAAACTGGATGCAGTATTCCAAGGGTGGCCTTACCAAGCCATTGTAAAGTGTAAAGTTACAACGGCACTGAAAAAAGTGACTTCCAACTGTTTCTCATACTTACGACCATCACAGCATCCCCACAGTCTGTACTTAACGACTGTTGCAGCGTCCCAGGATCATGTGATCACCGTTTGCGACCATCCCAGCCGGCTTCTGATCAGCAAAGTCAATGGGAGAAGCCAGATTTGCTGAACAACCCCAAGATTCGCTTAACAACTGCAGTGATTCATTTAACTCTACAGTAGCAAATGTAGGTCATAAAACTGAACATGACTCAACGTAACAATCGTGTTTAGCAAGGAAAATCGTGGTCTCAGTTGTCGTAAGTTGAGGATTCCTTGTACAGGCGTAAGGAGGAATATTCTGTTTCCCTATGGACTTTGTGTGTGTGTGTGTGTGAGTGTTAAAGCCTCTTTCTTTGCTGGTATCATAATTAAACACATTTGTAACTGGCCATTCTTTGATTTTTGGCAAACCTTTTTTCTTTCTTTCTTTCCCCCCTTCCCCTTCCTTCAGCTGCTTATCAAAAGCGAACAAAATACTTTAATTCCTTTGTGAAGCCTGTCTGGAGGGTTAATGAATTAATGTCGTGTCAAGTGCTCTGCAAATTACAACTCCTTACAGGCTCTTTAGGGCTGGCAGAGTGCTGCGTTGAATATGCAAGAACTCTGCAGTTTGTCTGCTTTTGATGCCAAGCTTTTCAATCCTGCTGCACCTTCCCCTTCTTTCAATTCCCCTGGTACTCAGAGGACGACAAACACTGCCAAGAAAGAAAAAAAAATTCCCCAAAGAAGAGATTTTGTTTTAGATGGAAATAATAGTAATCCTTATCCTTATCAGCACATCTTGAAATATATTAAACTGGCAAGGCTGTCTTCCCCCACCGATTGGAGGGCATCGATATGCTGTAGAAATGGAGTGAAATTTTACACAGCGGCGTTAATAGCACAACTTCCCTATGGGCAATGAACCAAACATTTTTTTATTGATTTAACAAAGGAAATTTGAACGAGAGAGACTTGAATTTATACCCGCACATATCATAGCAACTGTTAGATGGCAGCAAAGAGATTCTGAAGACCTGAACCCTCCACTGCCATCTAGTGGCTTCCTGTTTTCTTGCAGCCTAGATGTGACAGCTGCAACATAGTACACAGCCCTTGATATTTGGTGATGAATGCTGAATATCGATAACAATATTATGCAATTCCTATTATATGTCGTCATGCAGGTTTTAAAGAAGAGACTGGACCGTCACTTGTCTGAAATGGTATAGGGTCCTGCTTGAGCAGGGGGTTGGACTAGAAGACCTCCAAGGTCCCTTCCGGCTCTGATTGATTGATTGATTGAATTAATAATTGATCAGATTAACCCAATGAGAGCTAATGAATAGATTATTTAACAAACCATGATTGGCTGGCTTAACCTAGCAAGCTAGGCCAAGCAGCATATTTGGGCTATGTTTATAAGATATCCCAAACCATAATTTGCTACTTAATAGCTTTTCAGCAAGTCACCATTGATTGCATTTGAGCCAGAAACCAGTTCACAAACCACAGTGTCTCATTCAGACAACATACCAAGATGAAACCATAGAGAAATAAATTCAGATTAGAGACGGGGGAGAAATTTCCAGGTGATGACACCTGTCAACCAGCGGAATAGATTGCTTCGTTGGATGGCGTGTTCCCCTTCATTAGTTGTCAACAGAACAGGCCATTTCTCTAAATACTTTACAGATCCTGCACTGAGCAAGAGATTGGACTGCTACATGACCTCTGAGATCCCTTTCCAGTTTATGATTCTATGAAAACCAAGGAAATCACATTTTCAATGGGCGTAGGTTATCTAGGACCCAACGGTACAGCCTACAACCCAAAAACTAGGAAAAAGACCAACAAGTCCATTAGAAACAAGAACAATCTTGTAACATTATACACAGGTAGTCCTTGATTTACAACCACAATTGACCCCAAAATTTGTGTTGCTAAGTAAAACATTTTAAGTGAAATTTGCTCCATTTTACGACCTTTCTTACCACAGTTATTAAGTGAATCACTGCAGTTGTTAAGTTAGTAACATGGTGGTTAAGTGGATCTGGCTTCCTCACTGACTTGGCTCCTCAGAAAGTCGCAAAAGGGAATCACAAGATCCCAGGACACTGCGACCGTCATAAATATGAGTCGGTTGCCAAACGTCTGCATTTTGATCACGTGATCATGGGGAGGCTGCAACGGTCATAAGTGTGAAAAATGGTCATAAGTCACTTTTTTCAGTGCCATTGTAACTTTGAATGGTCAAGGACTACCAGTACATGCTGGGGAAAAAAAAAAGATACTCTTGTTTGAATAAACTCACTTCCTTGGCCATCTGTGCTCGTATAGAAAAACAAATCTTAAAACTCATAAAACAGATGATAAAAAAGAAGCAAAATGAGGTTATAATGACAGTGATGTATTAGCTTTAAAAATGCA